CCCCTCCTTTCCCCCCCTCTCTCCCCTCCTGTCCGTCGGTTCCCCCTTTCACGCTCCCCTCCCGTCGGTCAGTGTCGTCGTGTCGTGTGTCCCCCCCGGAGAAGGAAAAGGTCTGTAAGTTGCCAAATTGTGGCACTTTTTATTCAACAGTTATTAAACAAAATAAGCTATAAACGTGGTTCCTTTTCCCACTGGTATTACTCTGGATCATTAAACTGAGTGATTTGCTTTGTCAGTTTGCGTCCTTGTTAGCAACGGTATCAATCTAATGTTCTTTTTAGGCCTTTTAATGCCTCAGAACTTAAGGCAAGCTCCTATGCTGTTGTAGACTGCGATCAAGCAAGAAGGGAAGTTAGTGTCCGCACTGGAGGAGCCACAGATAAGACATCAAAAAAGATGTACACGTTTGATATGGTTAGTAACTGCCTGTCAAGCTCTTGAAACAAGCTAGTACATCTCTCTAATACGGTCTAATTGCTATACTGTGTGGTGCTATATGTTGTTGTACAGATAAATGGGATGTGTTGCCTTTATGTCAACAGGTGTTTGGAGCTCAGGCAAAGCAGATTGATGTCTACAGAAGTGTTGTGTGTCCCATTTTGGATGAAGTTATTATGGGCTACAACTGCACAGTGTTTGCGTAAGTAAGCCAATAGTAATTATTATTAGGAAATGGTATTTGAATTTTAGTTTCTTGCTTACATTTTAATTTTTATTCTCACAGTTATGGCCAAACTGGTACTGGTAAGACCTTCACAATGGAAGGGGAGAGGTCACCAAACGAGGAATATACTTGGGAAGAGGTATATTTTCACTCCTGAGATGTCTATTGTTTGTACTGTAGTTCAAAGTTGGAAATTGTAGAAAGCTAAAGAAAACTCAACATTGATGCCTTTCAGTTCTTGAAGTTGATTTTCCTTAAGTGCCTGTAGATTAGCAAATGGTCTTATTTGTTCATAGAAAAAAGCAAAACTTTACATTTTTAATGTAGTGCATACAGCTCTTGGCAATTCTTATATGGAAGATCATCTCTGCCCAGAATGTCCATGCTTATTATGTCCTTGTGGCTGAGGTGACTTGGTCTGTTGAACCTGGAGAAGAAGATCCTGAAGGAAGACCTTATCAGTCTATACAATGTCCTCATAGAAGGAAGTGGAGGGGCAGCACTGATCTCTGGGTGTTTGGGCACTGGAACAGCTCCCCAGGGCAGTGGTCATGGCCCCAAGCCTGACAGAGCTCAAGAGGTGTTTGGACAATGCTCTCAGGCACATGGTGTGATTCTCAGGGATGTCCTGTGCAGGGCCAGGGGCTGGCCTAGATGATCCTCAAGGGTCCCTTCCAACTCTGATTATTCTGCAATATCCAATCAGACTATTTAACTGAAACTGTACCTCCTCACCCCAAATCTCTTTCAGTACATTCATAAATTAAATACTAGTTTTTAATTTATAGGACCCTCTGGCAGGTATAATACCCCGAACATTGCATCAGATATTTGAAAAACTCACAGAGAATGGTACAGAATTTTCAGTGAAAGTCTCTCTTTTGGAAATCTACAATGAGGAGCTTTTTGATCTTCTAAATCCTACACCTGATGTTGGAGAAAAACTGCAGATGTTTGACGATCCTCGAAACAAGGTTAGTTATTACAAAATTTGTTGTCTTAAGGCTTTCAGGATTGTTGAAAGGCATATAATAAGCATTCACTACTTTCTGACAGAGAGGTGTCATTATTAAAGGCTTGGAAGAAGTAACTGTACACAACAAGAATGAAGTCTACCAAATCCTGGAAAGAGGTGCAGCAAAAAGAACAACTGCAGCTACTCACATGAATGCGTATTCCAGGTACAAATCTTCTCCCTTTCAGAAGCATTTTGCTCTTTATTAGACAGGATCTTACTAAAAAAGTCAAAGATGACTGAAGCTGCTGAAAGCTTGCATGGTCTTGTGTATCGCAGTGTGGACTATCAAATGTGGGTTAGAAAGACAGAGCTTCCTCCTTACCACATCCTGTGGGATGATTGTAGTAGGTGTATGAAGGGGTGTCCTGGTTTAATCCTAGGCAGCAGCCAAGCCCCACACAGTCACTTGCTCACTCCCAACCATCAGGACTGGGGAGAGAACTGAAGGGTAAAAGCTAGAAAACTCGTGGGTTGAGGTAAAGACAGTTTAATAGGGAAAGCAAAAGGCACACACACAAGCCAAATGAAACAAGGAATTAATTCCTTGCTTCCCGTGGGCAGGAGGTAGTCAGCCACCTCCAGGGTAGCTGGGCCCCATCACACATAAAAGCTACTTAGGAAGACAAACACCATCACTCCACTCATCCCCCCCTTCCTTTATATACTGAGCATAACACCATATGGTATGGAATATCCCTTTGGTCAGTTTGTGTCTCCTCCTATGCAGCCCCAAGTTCCCTGCCAGTGTGGCAGTACAAAAAGCAGCAAAGGCCTTGGCTCTGTGTGACTGCTCAGCAATAACAAACACATCTGTGTATTATCAACCCTGTGTTCAGCACAATCCCAAACCACAGCTCCATACTAGCCACTGTAAAGAAAGTTCAAGCAAAACCAGTACAAGGAGCACTACAAAATCTAAATGCTTTTCATCTTAAAAGTGGACAAACTCTTTCTGCCTGCATGATTTGTTTTGTTTTGTTTTTTACATAAGCTTCCCCTCTTGTTCAGAGTTTGCGTCTTTGTTATTATTACAACATTTTTAACTATGCAGTGTCTATTTGAAAGAGAATCCCTGCTGTTCCACCTAACTCTATAGATAGAATAATAGACATAGGTATAACTACCAGAATGTTTTGGACATCTAGAATATTGCATTTTAAGTATAACTCAGAGTTCTGAAGTTCAGTTTCTTAAAAGCTTTCTATGCCTATGAAAACAAAAGACATCTGACAGATATGTGAGTAAAATACATTGCCTGTACTAGCATGAGATAAATACTCTCTGCTGTAGGTATTGTACATTTTCAGAGAGAAGGCTGTAGTTTGGCAGATGTTTAGTTGAAATTATAGGTATATTGAGCATATCTGTCTACTACTGGAAGGGAATGGGTATTTTCTACCACAGAGTACAACACAGAACTAATTTTCACTGAGATTACAGGGAACTTGGAGAATCTATTCTGTCTCAACTGTTGTTTGATGTTTGGTCAAACTGGTGTGATTTGACATCTATGGCTTTCTATGTATATTAGCTTCCTGTTGTAAAAACTTGAAGGAATAAGTTTGACTTAGAGTCACCTTTACTGTGAACTTGGTGAGGCACTGGCATAGGTTCTCTAGAGAAGCTGCAGATGCCTCATCCCTGGAAGTGTTCAAGGCCAGGTTGGATGGGGCTTGGTCTGGTCGAGTGCAAGGTGTCCTTGCCTGTGGCAGGAGAGTTGGAGCTAGGTGAAACTATTTGATGATTCTGTGATATTAAACTGCTACTATTTTGAATGAAAAATAATTGAACTTCTAAATTTTTAAACACTGGATTCAGCTACTTGCTGATTTTTCTTAGGCTAAATAAAGAAAACTACATTCCTTTATCTCTTCTCTGTGAATCTGTTCTTAGCCTCTTGACTTAACTGATTTGTAGATTTTTACTTTTTTTCATGAGATGCCTGTGAGCTGAGACACAAGTTAAACGAACCTAAAGTTTTTCTCTTGGTTTTGCTTGAAATAAGATAGTTTTTCAGGATTGAAGCGTCAAATCAAATGTCATCCAGTTCCTCCATCACTAGTTTTAAATACATTCATATGTATTTAAAATACACTTGGTAGAATAACTTCATGTATTGGAAATGGGTAATTTGCAATTCATGAGCCACATGTATTCCTGGAAAAGACTATGGATACATAACTTGTAGCATGTAGCAAGTAGATCATTTGTCTTTAATGGAACACCTGAAACTTGTTTCTCTTACAGCCGTTCCCACTCTGTGTTTTCAATTACCATCCACATGAAAGAAACAACAGTAGATGGAGAGGAACTTGTTAAAATTGGAAAGTTAAACTTGGTAAGTATTTGAGCTAAGTGTTGTTAAAGTAATGAGCTAGGTTTCATTAGGGCACAGACTCAAGCTCTGCCATGGGAGGTTTGGGTTAGATATTAGGAAGAAATTTTTTATGGAGAGGGTAATCAGACATTGGAATGGGCTGCCCGGGGAGGTGGTGGATTCACTGTCCCTGGAAGTTTTTATGATAAGACTAGGTGTGGCACTTGGTGGGTTGGATGTGATGATCTTGGAAGTCTTTTCCAACCCAGTTGATTCTATGGCTCTCTGATTAGAGGTTTTTGCTCTGATAAGGGGAAAAATCATTGTTTTCATAAAGTGGTATGAACTCTGTTACTCTGAAAAATTTCTGTCCCAATTGGCAGCTCAGTGTCTCCAGACCAGCTTATAAGCTAGTCCATGTGTTCTGCAAGGCTGGGGCAAGCATTCTTTAGGGTCATTTGAGACAGAAGCATAACCTTCTTTTCAGGTTGATCTTGCAGGAAGTGAAAACATTGGTCGATCTGGGGCAGTTGACAAAAGAGCTCGTGAAGCTGGAAATATCAACCAGTCTCTCCTGACACTAGGAAGAGTTATTACTGCTCTAGTGGAAAGAGCCCCACATATTCCATACAGGGAATCTAAACTCACAAGAATACTTCAGGATTCTCTGGGAGGACGGACAAAAACGTCAATAATTGCCACAGTTTCTCCTGCATCTGTAAATCTTGAGGTAAATTTCAAGTCTGAAAATCTATTCTTAAATAAATACTATATTTTGCTAATGGTACAAAAAAGGGAGTTCATTCCTCAGCTTGACCTAATGTTACATCTGTTTTTCACAGGAAACATTGAGTACCTTGGAATATGCCCATAGAGCAAAGAACATAATGAACAAGCCTGAAGTTAATCAAAAGCTAACCAAAAAAGCCCTTATTAAGGTAACTACATTATATATCTTAACAAATGAAGTTACAGGTTATGTTTGATTCTGTTAATGTAGCCTATGCTGTGCAGGAGTTATGAGGTGGTGGAGAACCTGTAACTAGTAGCAGTGCTTTTCTGAAGTGATTTTAGTCACTGAACTGATGGTTTCAAACCAGATCTGCTCTACTGATACAGCATTAGGCACTTTGCAGACACTGAAACTATTGCTAAGACTAAACTCACAATGACTCTGTGTGGATCACATGTTGAGAAGTTAGTGGAGAGCCACTAATTAACACCGGATTCTTTGATTCCTGGAGTTGCTGTATTGGTAGGTTCATTCCCTAGGAAGTGTCTGAACTAAAGTGAACTTGTCAGTACATACAAGTTGAAGAGCCAATGTAAAGTAGCTCTGCTCCTAAAGAGAGCTGTGATTCTCATTGTAAGCTGCTAGATAGAACCAAGCATGGTTCAGATGGAAGATTTCAAATGCTCTACATATATCCAATGGTATGAATATAAATGATACTGTACTGAACTTAGAAGGGAAGTGCTTTGCTCCTGTCCTTAGGCAAAACTGCTGCCTTTGAAGTATCTGTTAAGCTAAATATCAGAACTAAACCAGGAAATTTTGGGTTGGCATGTGATTGTTTCTTTGTGCAGGAATACACCGAAGAGATTGAGCGTCTGAAGCGAGACCTTGCAGCTGCACGAGAGAAAAATGGAGTCTATATTGCCCTGGAAAATTATGAGTATGTCTTCAAAATCTTTACAAAATGACTAACAAAGCAGCTCAGATATTAGTATCTATCGTCATAGAGAATTTCAGATCTATTTTCCCATCAGAAAGCTGAAAATAGTCAGGAAAACTGAAATGATTGGTCTACACAGGTAAAGCCTAATAATAATAGAGCACTGGGCAATTTATTCATGTGTGGAACTTACCAGAAGCATAGCCAGGATGCAAACGTATACCATGAAACCTTTCTTTGAGTGGAACCTCCTACAGAAAAGCAAACTTGATAAAGTTTGCCTCACTTTTAAGAGGACTAGTTTACACAGAAAGTTTACAATGGAAAATTGCCTTAAATGTTTTCTGCATTAGGTGAGAAATAACTCCTTTTCATATAGAATTTAGCAATACTTATTTCTCAAAATCACTAAAAATGGAGTGTAAAAACCCTGTAGATAATCTTGAAACCACCTCTTGCTTGACTAATTTGTTTGTTTTAATCCTTACTTGAGAGCCCTTAACAGAAAACTGACTGTTCAGGAAGAACAAATTGCAGAGTATATTGACAAAATCCATGCCATGGAGGAAGAAATGAAAAGAGTAAGTTATGTTTTTCAAATGTGGTTTCAATCTGCCAAAAAATAAAGGAAATTCACTCCTTTCAAAAAGAGGAATGAAGTTTAAGAAAAGAACTGTCAGAAGATCTTCTTGTTCTTGAAGTTCTGCAATTAGTCAAGTTGCCCTATTCATGTTTGCCTTCCTCTTTAGGTCACTGAACTCTTCACAGATAGTAAAAAAGCAATTGCACAGTATGAAACAGATCTGCAAATTATGGAGAAAGAACTAGACCAAACACAGAAGCATCTGCAAGAGACCAAGGTTCATCTGGCTGAAGAAGAATATGTGGTTTCGGTTTTGGAAGGCACTGAACAAGAACTTTATGACACAGCTAGCAAGGTTGTCACAGTTCTTGCACATAACTGTAAAACAGCTTCTTATGTTTGGGAGTTTCAAGGCCTGTTCAAGGAAATCAGTTGTGGCTAAAACATGATGTGAGTGAGACAAGACCTGGGTTTAAGACAGAAAACCAGAATTAGATTGCAGGACTTGCTCTGTGTTAATATTGACAAGTTGACTGCTAAACATACTTGTTGATCTGGAGCTAACTTTCCTTCAAGTCAGTTTGTCATGGGAGTTCTAGTGCTTTGATAATGAGTATCTATGATCATGAGTTGTTTTGCAGAATAAGTAGCTTTTTAGAAACGTAGGACTGGTCCAACAAACCAGTAAATTATGTGTAACTGAGTAATCTGGTCTAGTGGAAGGTGTTTCTGCACATATCAGGAGGCTTGGATCTAGGTGTTCTTTAAGGTCCCTTCCAACTCCGCATGAACTGGGGTAGAAAAATAGCAAAAAGCTTTGCAGAGATGTGTGCAGTAATTTACATTCATGGGTGAATAATGTAAAGTGTTGCCCTGTCACCTCTCTGTTTTAGGGTATGGCTTTGTGTTTGTAGATCAGTCATAATTATCAAAATAAACTTGATGTAGCAAGAAAGTGTCCTGCTATTTAAACCACAAAGTGATGAAACTTGTATCTTTAGGCAACATGACAATTTCTTTGTATTCAGATTCCTGTAAGTTTGGGAAGGTTTTTGCTTGTGGAGTGTTTGTGTGACAAATGGGTGCAGATATTACTTATGCTGACTACAAAGCCAAGACTCTGCTATTTGTATGAATTCTCAGTTATTTATCACAGAACTAGTGCTGGAAACCCCTTGCTTGAGTACTATATTAAAGAATATATTTTTTGTCAAATTGTTCAGAAGAAGTTGAAGTTGGCAAGAAATATTTCAGTTGCTATGCTGGGGATAAATGAATCTGAATTCCTTAAATAATTAATTTTATTAATGATTTGGTTTCAAAGCCAGAACAAATGGTCTCTAGTAGGTGGCTTTTTCCCATTTTCTAAGATGATAAATGACACACCAGGATTCAGAACAGTTGTGATTTGATGCAAAAGGCAATACCTGTCTTCTAGACAGATAACTTCCCTCAGAACTGCTATTGCTTTTTTTTCTTACATATGATTTTTTTGCTTAAAGACTGACTAAAATTATTTATAGCTACTTGGTACAGTTGAAGAAACTAAGATGGATGTATCTGGGCTCCATGCGAAACTGGACCGTAAGAAAGCTGTTGAGCAATACAATGCTGTTGTCCAAAACACGTTTTCGGAACAAATAAGTGCTTTGTTCAACAAAATACAAGACTCAATTAGTGAAAACAGTTTGAAGCAGCAAAACATGTTGACATCTTACAAAAATGCTTTAGGTAAGTTTAGTACTTGTATCAGTAGTCATCCTGAATTTTTGCCATAGTAGTCTCAGAGATCTCTGCCTAAAATGGATCTGTTTTGGGGAAGTGTAAGAGGCTTTATTTAAAGCCATGTGATGAGTACAGGTGTGGCAGTAATTATGTATGTGGGATGGTCAATAGCCTTCCTATGCTCTGAGAGGCAATAAGATGAAAAATTAAGAGTTTTATCTTACAGGGAACTTGTTAAACTATTTGTAACTCTTGTTGGTTTCTTTTGCAGGTGGCCTCCTGTCTACCTGTCATTCAGCAGTTAATGTTCTGGCATCAGTTACATCAGCACTTCTTGCCTCTGTTAAACAATCGATGCTTACTGAAGCTGCTCACTTGTCTGAAAAATTAATGCAGCATGAGAATCTATCACTTGATTGTAAAGCTGAGCTGATGAGATCAATTGTTAGTACATCTACATACTCTTATGATACTTTAATATATATGGAACTGTTCTCAATCTAAAGGGGTTCTGCAAATATTGTTTAGTTTTTTCTGATGCTTTCAACTTGTATCTGCTTCAGCACTTGGCCATGATTATGCCTCTTCCCATTTCCCCTCCCGTGTTGCCACTGCAGGCTGTGATGTACTATGTAGCATATACTGTCATAACAGGGTATATGGGTGTGCATATACATAGCTTTTCACAAATGCAGATGAGAGAACAGCTATATTCTGTCTTACCTTTGCTTTTTTATTTTTTTACTGCTGTTCCTAGGAGGGACATACATCTGAATTACTACAAGTGTTGAATGGCTCGACACAGATGATGGAGTTTGTCTTGAGGTTAAACTGTCAGTTTCGGGCTAGCACGGAGAAATACTCTGCTGTGGTTCACGAGGTAATGCACATAGCTTGTTTCTTAGCACTCTTCTATTTCATTTAAATTACAGATAGCCCACTGTTTGTTTTTCTGCAATGTGCCAGAGTGTTTATACTTCATAGTTTTATAGTATGTTAAGGGGTTGGAATGGATCATCTAGTTTCAACCCCACAGAACAGGTTGCTCAAGGCTTCATCCAGCCTGGCTTTGAATGCTGCCAGGGTTGGGGCATCCACAGACTCCTTGGGCAACCTGTGCCAGTGTCTCACCATCCCTACTGGAAAACACTTCTTGCCAATATCTAATCTAAATTTCCCCTCCTTCAATTTGAACCCATTACACCTTGTCCTATCACTGCAGTTCCTAACCAACACCCCCTCTCCAGCTTTCCTGTAGGCTCTTCAGATACAGAAAGGTTGCTCTGAGGTCTCCACACAACCTTCTCTTCTCCAGGCTTACTTCTCAATCTTTTCAGTGGTCTCCTAGACCACTTCTGGTCTGGCCTTTTTCTCTATATCTTGTCCTATGAGTTCTACCTTTTAACTCTTTCAGACTGCTTTTCCACTCGAGTGTGGTGTATTTACTTGTTACTTATATTGGCACAACTGCTTGCCTAAATGCCACAGGAGAATAGATGCTTAAAGCTATATGTAACAGGTATTTGATAATATCCTTAATATTCTCCCTTGTATTTTTGGAGTCTAAAGGAAAAAAAATAGCTTAGACATGGATTATCACTCCCAGTTTTTCCTGTATTCACTTTGATTCCTGGGGAATGTGATGCTTTTTAGCAATAACCATAAGTGCCAACAGCATTGCACTTATAATAGAGTCCTTTGCTTCAGTTTTATTTCTAGTCTGTCTCATGATGTTTGTGTAGAATTGCAACCATTTTCTTTCTATTTTGTCAAGAGCAAGTCATTGTTCCTGGTGACCTGTTGCTCTGACTGAAAAATTTCCCCCTTCTGTCAATTACAGCTCATGTGGAATCAACTCCACTTGTCCAGAGGCTTTTTATTGGTTTTCAGACTTAGACAGCAAATAGTCCATGCCTTACCAGCACTTGCTCTCCTTTGCCTGCCTTTCTATCTTGTCTACCTCAGTCTCAAACTTCAGATTGCTCCAAGTGTTATTTTCTGCCTTTGATGCACAATACTTTATTAATGTCTTCTGGTGATTTTGTTGGGGCAGAGTTTGTTTCTCTATCAATTATGCTAGGTAAAAGTATTCATTTCCTAGATAAAGACAAATATCTAACTGTAAATAAAAATTTCTTTGAAGATGGAGGATTGCAAAAAGGAAATTAGTACCTTCTTTGGAGACCTCTCTCTCACTCTGAAAAACATACAGGAGGAAACAGCCAGTATCTTCGCTGAGCTTCAGCACAATTGTGACAGTTTAAAAGAAGAAATGGAAATGATGAAATTGGCACATACAAAGGTATCTGTAGAATAAGAAGAAATCCTTGTGTCAAATATCATTGCTTGCTTTGATTTAAGTTCTTAGTAGTAGCTAACTGTTGCTTCAGAAGAAATGTTAGGACAGTAACTTGATCCTAGTTCTTGTCAGCTTTTTTTTAGGCTGCTTTAGGTAGCTTATGGAGAAAGGTAACAAGACATATTTTATCCCTGTCCTGAGCATGTCCAGCATAGATGCATTGTATCTCCAAAAGGGTCTGTTTCTGTGCTACACAAAAATTCTAACTTGAGCTTTAGAATGGCAGAACTTTTTATTTGCTGCATTTTAATACAGGTATTCAAGTGCCCTTTAAGAATGCTAAAAAGTGCAGAATAACAGTGAACTTCATGGCTTTTTTCTTAACAGAGGAAAGCTGAACTCATATCCTCACTGCAAAGCCAGCTTGACTTGTTTGCTCAGGAGACTCAGAACGACTTTGCTAAGGTGCTCACAAAAAGTGGAAGCTTGAAGACCACCATCACTGCTCTGCAAGAAAATGTTCACATGTAAGGACTGGATTTTTTTTTTTTTTGCTGTACAATAATGCAAGATTAAAACTATATAGGAAGAGAACTTGAAAGTTTGATGTTCTTCATGTTTATTTGAAGAGCATCTGAAGACTTTATGAAGTCTTCTGGCAAGGCCTATGAGTTGAATTCTGTCACAGAATGGAGATCACAGTTCACCTTTCCCCACAGTAAAAGGTGGCTTTACAAGGCTTTTCATCCTCAGCATGTTGCAGGGAAGAGACATGTTTTGGGAGCAATATGCTGATGAGCATCCCTCAGTATCTGGACTTCAGAACTTCATATCTGAAAAGTCTAGCATGAAGTGTAATGATCTGTCTTGCAGCATGCTTCATTCTCCTGCAGACTGAATAACTAAGGTCTTACCAGAGTTGTTTGGTTTAGTTTGGGGTTGGGATTTTCTGGTTCTGGTTTGATGTTTTTGTTTTATGTGTTATCTATTTCTTTATCTGTTCTAAATGCTGTGATTTGTGAACTCACTAAGTAGAGCAACATTCTAATTAACTGGTTTGATATCTCACTGGTTCTGGTCTCAGATATTTCTAAATGTAGATGTTTTTTGTTACCTTTCAAAATGCCTGAACTTTTAGCAATTATGTTGTTGCAGGAAAACTACAGACCTTGTCAGCAGTACAAATTCCAATCACAGCAAATGTACTGCATTTCTGGATAATGTCTCTCAAAACCTCAGGAGCATGAATACAAAAAATAAGATGATGCTGGAAGAATCCAATGACAATTGTCAAAGTCTTCTTGCTGATCTCAAAACATTGTCTCAGGATACCAATACATGGGGTGAACTTACAACTGCTCAGCTGGTCAGCTTTACTGATCAGCAGCTTTTGGCCCTCAGTCATGAGAAGGAGCAACTGCAGAGTCTACAGAAGGTACCTATAGTTGTTTATAGTGTAATGCAACATTCTGAGACAAATTTCTGCTGTAGAATCTGTAGGGGGCAAAAGTTCTCACTTGGAACAAAGTTGTGGGGTTTTTTGATCACAGCAGACTTGTTACTCAGCTTAAATAGATGCAATTATAGGAAATCAAAAGCTTAAATTAAGAGGATGACTTTGAAATTAGAGTGCAAATAACATCAAAAATGGTGTCATGATTAATGCCATGCAGCTAACTTGCATTTGTAATTTGGGTTTTTACATCATCTTGGTAGTATATATCTCTAATTCCCTGGGAGATCTGCACAGTGATCAAATGAGACCATTTGCTGGAGGATGCAAGTGACTTTATTGGTCAGATTGAATTAACATAGGAGGAGAAAGTATTCCTGTTTGCTGATCCGCTAGTTCTGGCCTCTTAGCTGAGAATTTCTTCCTCAGGGTTGTTTTTTCATTTTCATCACAAACTTCCCTTCCTTGTTTGATTGTTATAGGTAATGAATAGGCAAATCTAACATTTTGCTAACTTTCACAAAGGAAAAGGTAACTGTTAAAAGCATTCGCAGTCTCAAGCCACCTCTATCTGTTACACATGCTGAACACTTCAGGAGTTTCATTCTAATGGGAGTGGCTAAAAGTGGATGTTTTTCTTCTCCCCCTACAAATGCATAAAGCTTCTAGTGCTTGCAAGATTTTCACTGTCAGTTGAATATCCTAATTCTGTGCAGAGCTTTGCATAGAAGCATGAGAAATCTGATCTGAACCACGTGGCATCAACTTTGTTCTTCTGAGTAGCTTTCTAAAGTGATCGTACTTTCTAAGAAACTGATTCTCTTCTGAAGGTAGTTCTCAAAATGAGTGTAAAACTGGCACTGAAACCTCTCAATTTGAGGTCTCTCAGTTGTTTCATTTTGGGTCATGTCACTAATCATGCACCACATCTTAGAGAAGAGACCATAACCTTATCTTTCCTGTCAACTTTGTGTTTTGAGTTAAGTACTTTTTATTGTTTCGTTTTCAGAAAAATGAAGAAAACTGTGATAAAGCAGTAGCTGAAATTGCTGATCATGCTCATAGACAAACGGCTGCTGAGGAGAAGAGGTTAAACAACCTCCTTGATCAGATAAAGGTGGATGAGGAGACACTCCTGGAGCAGAAGCTGTCACTTAATGGGGAAGTGCAGCACGGGCTAACTCTGGTTAATGGTTTCCTGCAAGACGATCTTAAAGTGGATATTCCAACAGGTACTTTAAGTTGGGGGCAGAATGGTCTTAGAGAAAGCAACTCAATTTGCACAATTTGTAAGTGAAGGCTGACAGAGATATAATGTGACTAGCAGCCTTACACCATGTCTAAGGTGTATGCAAAGAATGGTGACTGAAACAGAGCATGATTTCTGTATTGAGTTAAGGTGAAATTGAGGATCTGAAATTGCTTAATAGTGCCTTCCACCAGTGTGCAATCTTTCTTACAGGGACAACTCCACAGAGAAGAGACTATGTTCATCCAGTCTCGCTTGTGAGAACAGAGCCCCGTGAGAATCTCTTGGAGCGACTAAGGCAGGAGCAAGAAAAGCTTCATACTATGCTGGATGGTGTAACAAAGGAGGAAGAAGGTAATGGTCAGGTATGTATATGAATGGCAAATAAGGTGTTCTCTGCCCTTTTGGGCAGTGGACTAGAAGCCCAGATCTACTGCAGCCTTTGTGTTTTACAGGGTACTTGGAGTCATGTGCGCTGAGCTTTTGTTGAAAACATTCTCTTGAAAATGACATTAACAATTTAGAGACTTTCATTTGCTTTTAAGAAATGGATGTTCCATGTCTGTTACAGATCTGATCATACTTAATACATTCACCTAGGGTATTCAGACAATAATGCACTTCTCTGGAACCTTATGTTTTAGGACCTGTTGGAAGATGGAAGGTTGCAAGAATGCAATGAAAGCCTGGACAGTGAGAAACTCTCAGCGGATACAAACGTACACTGCCATGCAAGTGGTGGTGTTCCTTTTTTCAGGGTAACTTCCACAGATAATCTAGACAGCTGTGTATTTGAGTTGAAGGAAGATTATTGTTCCATAATAGTGCTATGGTTTCAAGTCACTTAGAATTTAGTATAGTCTCACAATTCCTTTAAATCCTGTAGAATACACTTTGTTAAAGCTGAGCTAAATTAACAGCAGATTCTGGTAACAGTTAATGGCAAATAATGCAAATTTCTGACAAGCTGCACAGACAGTCAGAAACTCCTCAGCAAATCATTCTGCATGAAAAAATTGTCATCATTTACTAGACACAAACACGTGTTAATGGAAAAGTTGAAATTATATGTGGAGGATTTTCTTAGAGGCCGGAGAGAAATATTGGCATTCTTGATTGACCACTGGCTTTAGGCACTTTTATGTATTTCCTTTTCACCCTTTTATTCTACCAATGTAGCAGTATGAACTCCCTGATATATCAGTCTTGGGGGTTGGCTTGCCAGGGGTAGAGGGTTTTCTTGTGGATCCTTTAAAAATGGCTGCTGAGCTTCTGTCTGTCTATAGTAAATCTCTAAGTGCAGTATTAGGAACCTTTTTCAGGAGTTCTACCAACTTCTTTTGTCATAACACTGACTGCATTGCACATGAGTGAGATGTCTTCAATTTCTTTGTTCTCTTAACATTGGGTATTTTCTTTAAATCCCAGCGCAAAAGGAGGAGTCGCAGAAAGGGTAAGGAGAACAAATCTGGAGCCACACTGGAGAACAAAGCAGAGGATACGACAGAGGAGTGTTCTGACAAATCTAAGCTTCCTTTAAGATTACTGAACTAGGAGATCACTCCCGCTCCCTGTTTTGAAATACTTCTCATTGTCTGCTGAGCCCTAGCTTCTGATTATTCTTGGTCTTTTTATTGATGTGCAGTTGAATCAAATTGATGTGCCCTGACACATCATGTCTTTGTCCCATTTTTATGTGCTGTATATTGCAAAGTATAAGAAAAACAAAAAGCCTGCAGATGATGTTGCTGTTATAATGAATAGACTTGTATGCTGTCAAGTAAGAAATTTTGTTTCTCAGTAGCTTTAAACCACCCAAAAGATGTTCCACCATATGAGCTACTGTTTTATATCTTGACTGTAAATTGTTCTGGTTTTCTACATGTTTTTTAATCCAGTTCTTTTATTTTGACTGTTATACTTTCAATAAAGTGTTGATACTTGCAAAACAAATGTATAAGCATCTCATTCAGTAGAACAAACTTACATGACTTACAGTGCCAGGTTTAATTTGGCTAAAACAGTAGTAGCTATGTCATAGCCTTGTGCTGTCAGAAAATGATGGTTCTCTCCCTTGTTTCATAATGGACATTAGTTTTAATTCGGTGCCTCTTCACTCCATGCAAGCCAGTATCACTGCTGGGTCTTGGGGGTTTTGTTTGGTTGTTTTGAACCCCACTGTTATTACTTTACTCTTAACCTGCAGCTGTGATGTGTTGGCTGGGATACAGTGTCAATCAAATCTTGTGTATCATAAAGTGGCAGCATTTTTCTTACGATCTAGATACTTAGCATTAAAACAGGCAAGTTTGGTTACAACTGCAGCTCCTATGTTGCGTATTAACTGCATTTTCAGTAATTGACGGTAGCATTTGACCAGCTGCTCTTTTCATGCTCCTGACCTGGAAATTTGAAAACCTCAAGCTTCAATGTGCTAAAGATGTAGAGTAATAGGATTATGCTGGGACTGGGAAGAGACCTTAATTTACATTAAAGCACTATTCTTAGGTAATTGTTAAAACATTATTGGAGAGGTTGTTCACTTTTCTGTATCTAGTTTGCAGGCTTAAGTTGATGTTTTTCAGACAGGTTGGTTGTGTATTTATTTGTCTTTGATCAATTATGTCAACTAGTTACACTTTAGGTACCATTCAGGCAGCACATTGCAGTCCTGCTGCTAGAGACAAAGACATGAAGTATGCCCTTGGACTGATTCTCTGAACTCTAGCATGAGCACTTATCTTGCCTCATATATCCTCTCTTGCCTCTGTGGGCAAAGCTAATTGCTTTCTGACAGCCCAATAGGAGGAGGAAAAGCTAATTTCCTTTTAAATTAATAAGCACAAATTGGGTTTGGTTTTGTTTTGGGATTGGTTTTAATTTGGGGGGAAGAGGGTGTGTTATATCATCTTGGTACCTATGTTATATACCAGATCTTTCTATTGCTGTAAGGAGAGTGAAATACTGGAGCTGTAGGATTGTTTCCTTCAGGGTGTTTAGGTGTATTGTCAAATTCTGGCATGGAAAACTTAATGGGCTTAACTCTACAGAGGCTTAGGATCCATTTTCTTGTACCACATGTACAACATGTTAATATCTAGTCAGTGTTAGCATCTTCCACGATGATTCAAGAAATCATTTACTAATTAAACTTCAACCAGAAGGGTCAATCCTACCCCTGTCTTGACTAGCCTAATCCATATGATAGATGCTTTGTACAAGCATTTTATCCTACCATGTTTTCCCCATGGAGTTTGCTGGAGCAGCCACTGCCTGAGGACGTTTGCATCCACAAACTCATGCCAGATTTTGTGCTTCCTGTCTTCATCCTCTTTGAAATTGTCTCCTCTACCTATGGCCTTTTGGTTCCCCCTGCTACAGGCACAGGCTGCTTTCCTTAACAGCTGTATGAATTTAAGGGGCTGCTTGCATGCTTTCTCCTCTTCCAAAGTAGCCCTCAGGGTCACGTTGTCTTTTGTTTGCAATGCTGGCAATGATCTGCCGAGAATTGTTTCGTTGGCTCAGGTATCCAGAGGTCACACCAGAAAGTCAAATAGGATGAAAAACCTGGATGCAGAACATATCCCAGTGTGTCCGTGCCTCCTCTCCCACTAGATGGCTCTAACGCCAAAGGTTGGTCCCAGCTCAGGTACTGGCAGCTAACCAGGACCTGGGAATAAGCATTTTGCCAAGCTTTTCAGCAAGCATCTGCTAAAAGAATGTTTCAAAAACTAGTAGCGATGGTATGCTTCCCCAGGGAGAACTGTATATTCAAGTTTGAGTGAAGGGTTGTTCTATAAAGAGCCATGTTTGTGAAAAAGATGATCCTCTGTATGCCTTGAGCTTTGCTACAGGGCCAAAAGACACTCTTGGCAACCAAGTTCTTGTCCTGCCCTGCTCTCTCGGTCCCCCACCCTATGGGCATTGTCTAAAGTAGAAAACAGAAAGCGCTGCCTATTAGTTCTGTCATATTGTATGATAGAAGGGGAAAAGGAGAGTAAGAAACATAAATCAGCAGTTGTTTCCTGTATGCAATCACTGGAATCAAGGGTCTAACTCAGAGGGGAGAATTGGGGCAGTTCAAGCTAGCTTACATGGTGGTTTGATTTTATCCTGTCAAAAGGCATCCTTTACAGGAAGGGGCTGAAGCTATTTCCACAGAATATTTAGCAAGGTCATACCTGGACTGCCTTCATCCAGCTGAGTACAAGGAAGAGTTCTAGTGGCTGGGACTGTGGTATATGGTCATGTTCTGATTAACCTGATGAGTTGTTTCGGATTCTAGATTAGTGGCTGAGTGGGACAGTTGTTGATTTAACAAAATCATGAT